TTGGTATTTTTGAGAGAAAAATTCTTAGCAATATTTTGGGGGCGTAAATGAAAATGGGCTATGGAGTCGAAGATACAACTTTGAACTATATCAGTTATACAGCGATTTAGATATTGTGAAATTGATTAAAGTACAGAGACTTAGATGGGCTGGACACATTGCTAGGATGTCAGATCACGAATATACGAAGAGATTAACATTTTCAAACCAGAGGCACGAGAAGCAGAGGACGAGCACGAATGATATGGATTGATGATGTTGAAGAAGACCTACAGATTCTAAAGGTTAAAAGATGGAGGCAAGTTGCCAGGAATTAACAGGAGTGACGGCTTCTTTGTGAGCAGGCCAAGATTCACAACGGATTGTCGAGCCACTTATGATGATGATGAATAAAGCACTTGTAACAAGACGGGACTGCGGCGTTTATAAGAGAGAGAGAAACAAAATCTAGGGCATACATTTTTGCTGGTTTAAATTTTTATTGTTCAAATGAGCGCCCGCCTTTCCATACACTCTTCATTATCAAATAAAAAAACAATATTTTAATAGTAATTTATGCACCAAGGGTCTTATTAAGATGATTATTCCCTGAAAGCAACATAATTCAGCCTGAGGGCCTTTGGCCCGAGGAAGAGATGTTGCTTGATGGGCTTAATCATTCGGTAACACCAGTGGTACATACAAAATATGCATATACAGATTGAACGAAATAAATTCGGAACATGGGAAACATCATGTATTTCGGCTCATTTCTGCTGTAGGAGGTTGGCCAACAAAAGGTTGTCAAATAATTATATTATAAAAACCCCATACTTCTGCGGGCTGCTGGATTCTGAACTCATAAAAATTGAAAGCTACACATAAATCTACGATTTTATTATGCTGTCAAACCCCTTATAGTCCAGGAAATGAAGCATTTCACCTCGTAATTTTTTTCGTCCTGCGTGGATTAACTTGATATTTTAACAAAAGGTAGGTAATAGCCTAAGGATCAAAATCTATATCGAACCAAAGTGCGCCAAAGCCTTGGGGGTGGTTGCCACCCCATCCCGGGGATGAAATTTTTTTTTTTTACGTTTTAACTACAGGTTTCGATATTTTTCAAGTTATTCGCGATTGAAAGTAACAACTTTTAGACGAAAAAATCGACGTTTTTAATCGATTTTTCGCGAATAACTCGAAAATGGTGCATTTTATCAAAAAATTGTGGAGAACAAATTTGTAGCTTTTAAAAATGTTCAGCGGTTTTCTTCAAATGCCAAATTTGAAAGATTCAAAGTCAAATATCGGGAAAACGATGCATTTTTGGAAGAAAACTCACGCAACCTTTTTTAAAGAGCATAAATAGATCTATCATAAAAAAGACTCTAGCTCAAAAATTGAGTGAGTTATGATGAAAATAAGGCCAATACCTCATTTTTTTACGAAAAAATCGATGAAAACAACCCCCTAACCACACCCATAATTAAAATCGATCTTCACCCTTCTGCAATTCTATTTGTACATGTATTTTTAATACGTCCAAGAAGTTTGACCCATTTAAAATGCTTAGTTTGAGAAAAAGTATAGCTTAAAGCGATAAACGATTTACAATTTCATATTTTTTACCCTTCTTTTTTTAAATATCCCCGAAAAAACTGAATATATGAAAGAAATAAAAATGTACTAAATTGTAGCTTTTTTAATGACTAAAATTTTCCTTTATTTAGATTTGTTGTACAATGAATATTTGGCGAGATATAGCCGTTTAAAGCATCGATTTACGATCAAGCACCATCTTTTTCGAGCCCTTTAAACTCACCCCATTTAAAAACCAAGGGTTCCAAAGAGATTTAATTCACAGATCCTTGTAGCTCTTAAAAACCTCTACAAAATCGTTTTTGAGGAAACACTCTATCGTTAAAAATGAAGGAAATACGTTAAAAAACCAATTAATTTTTTTTTTCGGAAAATTCCATTAGTATAGTACAGTACATTTTGGAGCATAATAATCTACAAAACCGGTAATTAGGTAGTGGGGCGTTATACATTCGAAATTTTAAGCGTTCTTATTTCGAAATCCCATACAACAGAATAAAACATTTGCTCATATGTTAATGGCTTTGCAATGAAAATATCAGAGCAAAAGACTGGGGATGGTATTCCAAAGATGGTTTGTTATTACCCGTACGCATGAACAAACAACCTGCACCCGATGAACTTTCGAAAATTATTTTTTGCCAGTGCAAAAAAGGATGCGGCGTTTCATGTGGGTGCAGAAAAGTTGGTTTATACTGTAACTTTACTTGTTCTGGGTGCTCAGGTGAAGGATGCAATAATAGTCCACCAATAATTGAAGAAGATGAGGATGACATAGATCACGATGAAGATGTAATTGATGACGAATAAAATTAATATTATAATTGTTTTACCTATAAATGTAAATATTTTCAACTATTTATGTAAATGTATAAGAATATATGGTGCCTTTTTATGTTGATAATTTTTTTTGTATTTAATTCTACTTTTTTCAATTTATATCTATTAAATTGTTTTATAAACTGCATCCTTTACAACTGCAATGTTGTAAAGGGTGATTTTCAAAAGTTGAAAAGTTGCAAAATTTTGGCAAAAAATTGTTTTTACCTATAGCACTCATAACAATTGATTTTTAAGGGTTGAAAATGTATGAAATTGTATTTTAAAGTATAAAAAAATCACTATTTAACTAATCCAAACCAAATTTCACTCATCTTAAGATTTGTAATGTTATTTTACAATTTTTGAAAATTAGGGGTAGTTTTCACCCCTAAGAACAATCAGTGTTCATCGGCATGACGTAAACTATAAAGCAGAGGGTGAGTTAAGCTTAATTCCAATTTTTTTATGCAAATCGTTCCAAGGCGAAATCATTTTCTTCGCATTACTAATTTTTTTACATTAATCTCTAACAAGGGTCGCTTTTTAAGGGTTGAAATATGATGGAACTTTATTCAAAAGCACGAAACTATCATTAGTTAATTAATTCAAACCAAATTTTACCCATATTCAGGTTTAATATGTTATTTTATAATTTTTGACAATTAGGGCTAGTTTTCACCCCTAAGAACAATCAGATCAAATCGATCCAAGTCGAAATCATTTTTTTAGAATTAGTAGTTTTTTTACAATAATCTCTAACAAGGGTTGCTTTTTAAGGGTTGAAATATGATGGAACTCTATTCAAAAGTATAAAATAATCATTATTTAACTAATTCAAACCAAATATTACCCATATTCAGGTTTAATATGTTATTTTATAATTTTTGACAATTAGGGGTAGTTTTCACTCCTAAAACCATTCAGCGCACTTCGGTTCGATATAGATTTTGATCCTTGGGCTATCACCTACCTTCTGTTAAAATTTCAACTCAATTCATGCAGGACGAAAAAATTGCGAGGTTTTAACTTTTTTCGAGCTTCATTTCCTGAACTATTAAAAACTTCCTTAGACAAGCAACATTGTTACACAAACAACATTGTTGCGAGACAGATAGTTGAACGATA